TAATCCATAACTGTTATATCTTAATGTGAAAATTTTATACCCCCCCCCCCCCCCCCCCTTTCCTATGAATCTGTACCCACTATACTAATAGAAATCCTTTTTTCTCCTGGGAATTTAGAATCCTGTTCCAGTGGAATTTTTTTTTATTCCTCCTGGGAATTTATACCTTAGTTAAAAATACTACAGAATAGATTTTTTTTTTATTTTATGTGAGTACTTAATATTGGAAACTGAATTATTGACCACAGATTGTGAGAACATACATATGAAGTACATGGACTAGTTGTTGATCAGGTGTTTTAAATGTGACCATTTCAATCTCATTTTGTGTGAATGGTGCTTCTCACAAAATTACACTGTAAGAAATTCTTCACATAGTTTTAGGAATCTACAGTATTATTCTCCAGGGGGAACTTACATGTACTCCAAGGGAATTTTTCTCTCATTTTACCAGAAATAAACCATTTTTTCTTTCAAAACTAAATGTCTTCCAACTTCTCAAGTTATCCCAATGGTCATATCTATATCACTTTTTGTCATGCTCTTGAATAAATACAAAAGCATTTCTGATGCAAATGCAACAGCTTTAAGGATAAACATGAGTGATTATCCGATTTCCCAGGGTAATTGAAACCCACACTCAGGCAATTGAAAACAAGAATATGATTACCCCATTGGGCAAGTGGACTTTTATGAAAAGAACAAAGATATTTATGGACCTAAATTTGTCCAGTAAAATTCTGAACAATAAAGAATGGTTTAATAATTTTAGTAGAAAAGTTATCTAAGGTTAAAGATGTCTTCATTTTCTCCTGGTCTATGTAATGTGATGTCAAAAAGTTTGTCATAATTCCCATCTTAAGAAAATCTTTTCTTTTTAAAATAAGCAAAATTAAAAATTGTTTTTCAATGCTTTTTAATAGAGCACAGCTAATGTGATCCAAATTAGTTTACAGGTGCATATTGAGAGAACTGACTTACAAATGTTATCATGGCTGCATGTTTGGATGCATTGGCAGCTGAATTTTAATTAGGATGCCATTTCACTATCTGAGGGTCATTGTGTAACAGCCAAACTGTAACCCTGGTAAAATTTACAACAAACGGTATAAAAATAAATAAGATCTGTTGAAGGTCATTGTGGATATACCTGCCACAAGCCTTATCATCCAGTAGATCAGTGCAGTTTACATTCCTTTATCATGTGTGGGACGAAGTGATTGGGATATTATGTATTGGAGACAGTAATCTGGCCTTGAATGTTGTCTTAAAGAGACCTGTGAGACAGAGTACAATGGTGTTCAAGGTCAAAGGAGAGAGGGAGGGCCCAGTTAATTAGACAGAGGGGAGTCAATGTTTAATTATAGACAGGAATTAAGTTCTCCTGGTGATAGAGTTCATCAGCCATGTTATTGTGTGATGAGATGTCATCAACACCTTGTGTTTATCAGCAAACATTCTATGACTGTTCAAGCATATAAAGTCATTAAGAGGAAAAGGAATTCTTTTCAAAAGTGAAATTGCATTTCTTTTTTTCTTCAATTCGAAAGTTTTCATTCACTGCTTAGTTATGGACTGAGCTTCAGCAATGCTCGTTTGTCCCACAAGGGCAAAATTTCTTTGGATTTATTTATTTTACTTTATTTTATTTTTTTTTTACAAATTTTTTAAAACAATTTAAATGCTTACATTCACTGCTTGATTAGGCCTTATGGACTGAGCTTCAGCAATGCTTGTTTTGCTCTACAAGTTGAAGTCTAAGGCACTGAGATGTTCTTTGTCAGGCCTGTACTTTAGAGAAAGGATGTACTCTCTGTAATAGCAGTAATAAGCATATCCTGTATTTGTGACAGCTCTTAACCAGGCAATTTTAATGGCTGGATTGTTTTTTGTACATGCATTATAGTTGGAAGTTGGAAAAATCCATTATCTATCTAAGATGATGATTCAAGCAGAGAGTAGTTGCATGATTATGCACAGAAATCAGAAATCAATGTCTTATTTCTCTTCTGATGATCCACACCTCGTAATTTTCTAGAGCATGTTCTCATCTATAAATAACCGGTGAATTGTATATAAAGAAATTAAAATGGTTTATGATCCCTGAAATGTACCTCATAGCACATTATCTGTAGGAAATCAGAACTCCTATAAATTGAGTTTTAACCATAAAAGACCATGGTTTGTTGGTGCTTTGATTGACAAGAAAAATTAGAAATTTAAATCCTTTTATTTATTGTCAGGGTTTATGCATAAAGTTAGATAATTATGATAAACACATGCTGTCATTTGAATCTTAAGTGTAACTTGAACTGGAATATATACATAAAAAGCATGCAGATATAAAATCTGTAACGAACTACAGGTAAATGTTGTCACATCTGTCAAGGTGTAAAACCCATCTAGGCTTACAACACATAACTTTATAGATGTTATTTGTTTTCACATAATAATAGGGAATTATAATTCTGAAGTATTTGAGCTTGCTCATTGGGATTTTAGAATTTATTGATGCTTTCCACTAGGACTTTTAGTAAAAGGGGAAAAATCATAAGTTTATGCAAAATTTAAATACCTTACAAAAAGAACACTTTTTTGCTCAGTTATTGACTTCTTATATACATGTATTTCATGTCCTAAATGTAGCATTCAAAGTATTTCAAACGAGAGCATATCCCTAGGTCCTTAGTACTTTATGATTCCTGTAAAATCATAGTGAAATCTCAGAGCTGTAGTTAGTATGGAGCATGACCTCTGACCCCTGACTTTGTTTACCAAGAACAGTAATTAGAACTGCATTCTTGGTTGGATTAAGTAAGGAAAATGACCTCTGACCTCTGATCTGAGAACATTAATTAGAGTCGTTACTACTTATGAACACTTAATAGTTCTGGAGAGAACTGGTAGTGGGATCATAAGATACTACTAACTACTAATTATTTATTAAGTCATTGACTTTAGCTGCTGACTGAAATCGACTTCAAGAACCTCCAGATAAAAATGTTTCCCTGAATGTACTGATAGATTGTTTCTTATTATTACCAATAATCAACTGATACAAAGTCTGAATATCAGCACCTAGAAACAGCAAGGTAATGGCAAAGTATCGTGTTTAGTTGTAGTAAATCTTTCCTGTTCAACAAGGGGGGCTGGGTAAATTAAGATTAAGGTTTGATACTTAATGTAATAATTTCGTTTACTTGGTTAGCAGCTGGCCTTTGAACTTCCCTGATTGACTACGCATTTCATTCAAATGTTTAACTTGCCTTTGGAATATGAAGTAAATTTAAGAGACCCTCTGATTTTACCAAAATGCATAACCTAGAAAAAAACATTCCTTACTAGCTGTAAATAAGAGTGTGACTGACCTGAAACATAACACAGAACAGGTTACTAGAGCTATCTAGACTTCTGGTGGGTTTTTAAAATTTAATCTTAAATTTCTAAGATATCTTGGTGCATAGAGTAATCTGTGTTTTCCCAGTTTCTCTGAATGTCCTCCATATTTTATAACAGAAAACAATATTTCTTTTATCTGCTTTGTAGGTATCTGAAATCATACATAGGCATAATGATTGATATATTTATAGGAATGTAAAATCGTACTGCCCTGGAGCCATCAGAATTCTGTAACGTCGATTAACCGAGAAAAATCAAAATTTACAGATCTTAGGGCAGCTGGAAGTAACAAGTTGGTAAAATGTGAAACTGTTTAAAAAGTCATTATAGTGAGAATAGTTAGCTAGAAGGAGAAGAATATATCTGACATCATGGCTATAAAGATGATGGTTCTCATTATTAGTCATTTTTCTGTGGAGCTTCAAGTTCCCTCTTTGATTGTAGGGCAAAACTGAAATGCTGTGTTGCACGTGATTATAATAAGTGATTTTATAAATTTTTCTACTGTACTTCTATAAATATCTACAGTTATATTAATTTTATATGTGGAAGTGATCTTTAACCACTATGTTTTTGTAAATGTATGCCTTTCCCCATTCATTACTATGTTGCTGAATAATCTGTATATATATTATTTACAAGATATTAACACTGAACCTTCGATAAGTATAATTATTGTCAACATAAATCACGGTCCAATCAAAGAGAAAGCAATGATAAAGGACAATTTGATGTGGGAGACTAGTAGGAGTGAGAGTAACCCAGCTCTATTAATGTTCTACTAGGATTAATGTTACAGCATGATTACCAGTACAATATTATTGCCTCTTTATAATTCTATAGATTCTTTATTTTATGTGAGTACTTAACATCGCTAAAGGGCTCTTAGACATCAAATCGCAAGAACAATAATCCGTGAGTAGATGGTTTATCAAGAAATTTTACTTGGATTTCAGAACCATGAAAATAAAATGAGTAATTTTATTTCGCAAATGGTGCTTCTCATGGAATTACTTGATAATTCATTCCTCGCATATACAGTATTGTCTTTATAAGATTAGAATCTGGAAAAGCCTTCATATCCAAGCTCTAAAGAGGAGCCACTTTCTATTACTACAAAGTTTGACTCTTTATAATTATATATTTCTTTGTATTTATTAAGTCAATGAAATAGATCTTCTGTAAATTTGACCAATCTGTCTGTTAAGTTCTAACTTTGCAAACCTACTGCCACTAGGCCCTTTGAGAAAAATTAAAACAACCAAAATTGAAGTAAATTCCAAGGTTTGAATATTAAAGCAATCAATTTTTCCAAAGCAGGTACAAATTGTGACGAAGATTAGAATCTGCAATAAGATGGTGCCAAGATTTTATCCAAAAAAAGAAATTCAACAAAGTCCATGAAAAAAGATTTAAAAAATAGTTCAAAATTTAAATTGATTTTCATTTTGCAGTTAAGATTATCATTATAGAAGATATCAAATTCTAATCAATTTTTCTTCGCATTATTGAATTACAAATGTTTGAATTTAACAAAATTTTGATTGATAGATTTTATATTTTTGGATAAAGTTACTTTTATATTTTTTTTGCATTTTCAGCCTCAAGACTTGGCAGGAGGCCAAAGAGGTTAAAGGACCCCTCCAGTGATGCACGGGGTCACGGGGGTAACCTCCCCATAGCCCCATACCCCACCTCTCCCCAGGAACTACAGAAGTTACGCATGGCTGAACTTCAGAAAGTCTTACAACAGAATGGCACGTTCAAAGCAGAACTAATGCAGGCTTTTCTGCAGGCAGCTCAGGTCAGCTTTCGCGAACACCAGCGCAACCCAAGCAACAGCCAACAGCAACCTCAGCAGCCGTCACAACGGCAATCTCAGCACCAGCCGCCTCATCAGATGACCTCGCAAATGAGCACGGGGGAGATGAACGGGAATGGCCATGAATCAGGATACTCGAGCTTCAGTAGTCCGGTCAGTAGCAAAAGTCAGTCCCCGATCACCAACGACAACATGGGTGAAAAGTATAACGGTAATCAGCAGATGAGCCTGGGGAGTACTGACATGGTCCTAGAGGAGATCGACAGCCTCACTATGAACATTAAACCCGAGCCCGGGAGTAATTACTCTAACTGTAGTAGTCTGGAGAACAGTGGTGATATCCTCGCTCAGATGGATCTTAAAGTGTTGAACCATTTAAATGAAAAAATGTTCATGGATCCCTCCACGCTTCTGTTTGAGAGTAGCTTCTCACCCCCCGAAGCCACGTGTAAACTTGAGCCAAATAGTCCGAGTGTTAGTGAAGTTATGTCTATGGGTAGAATGAATCCTGACTTGAATTTATCAGAACAAAATAGTCGTGCTGGGAGTTCGAACAGTGGGGGAAAAGATCTTAATCTGGAAATTGATGAAGAGGAGATTGTGGAAACAGACGCAACAAAGTTACTGGAGGAGGTGCGACTTGGTCCTTCGGATGTGAGACGTGCCCTGATTGAGCAGGTCACAGAGAGTGTCGTGGAGGCTCATTTCCAGACGTGCAATCCCACATATCAAAATGTCGCAGAAGCCAACGACAGATTCGCAGAGAAAATGGCCTCTGGTGATATGGTAGGTATCTATCTGGATTTTATTTGTTGTTACATTGCCAGTGTGTTTGTGTAGCATGTCTTGTGGCTGTTGTTAAATCACATGAGTGTTTGTACCATGTCTTCTCTCTTGTACATTGCCTGTGTGATTGTGTACCATGTTTGGTATCGCTTGTTACATTACCTGTGTGTTTGTATCATGTCTGTGTCTACTGGAACCACGTTTGTGTTTCTGGTGTTACATTGTTTATATGTCTGGTGATACCATGACTATTGTTTGTTGTTACATTCCCTGTGTGTTTGTATGATATCTGGATTTGTACCATGTCTTTTGTCTTTTGGCACTATGTCTGTCCGTCTTTGTGTTGTTTGAGATTTCCCACTCTGGTTTGTCACTGTGTAGGGGTGCAATGATACACTAACCTCACGATACGATACATATCACAGTATTCAGTTCACGATACGATACGTATCACGATACATGACAAGGTTAAAAAGTCTTTCAAGTTTGTATCATTTTTTTTTTTTTTAAACTTGACAGAGTTATATAAAATGTTCTTATTTTTCAATAATAATTGAAATAAAATTTTGTTAACTTGAATTGGATTGTTAGGTAGATCTTTGAGTTTTGACAATTTTCTAAACCAATGATGAACATTTACAGGGAACTACGGGGACCTTTCCTAAAAATCTTCCTTTTAAATTGGAATGAAAAAGGAAGACATTCATTCTTTTATTCATTTTATTTACGACGAAAACCAGTTGTCATATTTCTCACGTTAACATGTTTTAGTCAAGAAGACAGTGAATTTTCATCGAAATACACATGTGATGAAATTTCGTGTATTACCAAAGAATACGTTTAGATCTAAAGGGTTTATAATTTGTCTTAACATCTATAACTTATAATCACATTAAGTCCTTCTCCGTGTTAAATCTGAGGTCTGTAAGATGCTGGAGATGAGTTTAACTTCTGTTAATGTGTTACCGGCGACCTCACGTTTTGCGCGGAAGCCATTTTGAAATTGTAGAAAAGGAAACAAAACGGACGATTCGGATAATTCTGGACCGATTGAACCGAACCGCGATATCAGTTTAGCGTATCGTGAATTGAACCGTGGAAAAATATACCGCGATATACCGTCAAACGGTTTATCGTTGCACCCTTATCACTTTGTATTCAGTGAGTCTTGCTGTGAAATGCAGCATCAGTTACTGACAGAGTTTTCTGATGGATGTTTAACACTCCAATGTCAAAAGTGACACAAGGCGAAGGTTATTCTTTGGAATTGTTAGGATATGGCTACTGAAGCATGACAGCTTCATCTAAGTGATACATCCTTAATACCTTGCTGTGACATGTAGAACATGTAGATCCTGTAATGGAGGAGGAGAACTGAGGGTGACGTGCCCCACAAAGATGAACTGGTCTGATACAGTGTACACAAATAACTTGAAGGCTGTGTCCAGTGTAGAAGGAGCAGTTTTATCTGTTTCTGTTTCACTTGAAGGTTTTTTGTATTGTTGGGAAATGGGTGGATAAAAGAAGTGCTGACAAGTTATTCAAGGATAAATAATTATGATCTGGAGTTTTTAGCTCACCCGAGCCATTAATATAGTCATTCAGAGTTAATTGGACCTGTTGTGTGGCCTGTTGGGGAAAGTTTTCATGTTGACCTAGAATCATCAATTGTTTAATTATTTAGTAGATCACCTCTTTTTTTTTATATCAGTGAAGACATTTTACATATATTCACCATTCCAGAACACCCTCCATGCTTGTTGATATCAAATGGAATTGGACACAAAAGGGTCTTGCTGTTGTTTTGGAATTCTAAGATGGCCAATGACTTAAATTATATGACTAGTTGTAGTTCTTAACCATATAGCAGGAAATTTTTAGCTGCCATGTAATTTTGGAATGATTAACATATGCAACTTCAAAGTCTAATTTATTTTTAATTTCAGACTATATGATAATACAATAATGAACACTTTGGGTGATAATATGGTTTGATTTTCACCAGAAAAATAACAGTATAATTGTCTTCAGCTTTGCCTCAGTCAATATTGATATTTTCTGGTGAATATCCAACCATATCTAAAACCTAAAGAGTCCATAATTTTATGATATAAAATGAATACCATAAAACTCTCTTTCTTTCAGAATGCACTATTGTACCCTCCCCCCTTCCCCCCAATCTGAGGACTACTCTGTAAAGTCGGAGCTACTCCCTGGGACTACTCCCTCATTAATATTCATTAATATTTTTAACCAATCAAAATGCTTGGTGGGTGGGGCCTTCAAAGAATCTACAGTCTTGTATAACACAGTTGATCTGTATACATGATAAAAATAGAGGTGTTGTGTGAGAATTCTTTTTTTATTCAGGTGAGCTTTTTGACCTATGTGGCCTCTGGTTCTTTCATGTTTTCATTTCTTTCTTTTTTCTATTCAGGATTGCATTTTTCAGAAATCATAAAAAAGTCATAAAAAGATATTTCTGTGATTAATGGTTGATTTTTTCCAATTAGAGCAAAAAATCATCTGGTGTCCGCAATCAATAAAATGCTTTCTTTGTTTGTTAGTACTGGGATTTAATGTTGCAGCTGTTTCAGAAAAAAATACATAACCCGCTTTCACATATATATAAGCTTGTTAACGTAAACTTTTTCTGCAATCCAATGGTTGGAACTGTAAATTCTCATACTAACAAACAAAGAAGACATTTTATTGTTTCTATTTATGTCTGTATAAATAATCATATAAAATAGGTTTAAGTACGTTATTGATAATTATGTACATAAATTTTGTATGTTTCATTGATTGAAAAGCACACTTCATAAGAAAACTATACATATGGCTTGAAAAAACAGCGTTAACTGATAGATGAAAGAAGTGGTATAAGAAATAAAGAAGAACATGCATCTATAGTGATTTGATAGAAGCACGGATGTGTATTAGGATTTGACTCTATTGTGTATGATCATGATGATTGCAAATGATCTCAAGGTTTTGACAAATTTTTTAGGATTTTCTTTTGTTTTTTGATCGTAAATTTATCAGCCAACCTGACATCAACGTCAGAATCAAACTGTTAATTTAGCCTTATGGAATAAAGGCGGCAGCATTCTTCATGGCGATTTTTTGTTAAGGAAACAAGTGATGTTTCGATATTTTTGATTTTCCCATGCTTTTCAACATTAAGAATTCCTTGTAAAATCGGCACATTATGGTAATTAGTTTTAAATTGGTGCATTGATACATGCCAATGAATTATTAATTTGGTTGACATTTCACCTCGATTGTTATTAGTCACAAGTAATCTCTTTAAATAGTTGTTTATACTTTTCAGTCAGCAACTGTTGGATAACAAGTCATTTTTCGTCAAATATCATGAGACTTCCAGTATTTTGCTTATTTCACATGAGCTATTAGTCTAGTATTTTCTTTCCTTGTGTAATCTTTACTAAGATTTTGTTAGCAATTGTAATGTAACCTTGAAATTCGAGGAAAAGAAAATGATTCTCATTTGATTAAAGAGTGAAGTCAGTGAAAAATCTATCTGGTCAATATTACCCTTTTTCAACTAATACTGGAACTAAGGCTAACTTTTCAGAAGAGAACAGACAAGCTGTCGACTATTTCAGTAGCAGCCATCCAAGTTGATGTTTCTAAACATGTCCAAATGTATCCCTGTATTGTAAAATACTGCTATATTTTGTGTATTTATAATGGGTTATTTGTGTGTCCAAGTGCAAAACACTGGAATTCCATTCCTCAGGCATGTTTTATTTATAAATATGCATTGTCTGCAGCAGGTTTTACAAACTGTGAACCTATTTACGTGAAGACCAATATCATGACGTTGAATGATTTTCAGGGGTAAACTGTGTTCAAGAAAAGATCAGAATCTGAAAATGCAGGAACAAAGTACCATTTTTAGGTCAAGGCCATGGAGATTTTTAGTATGCACTAGAATTTCTTTTGTAACACACACTTACAAAATCATGGAAAACAATAGACCATTGACCTCTTGTTTCATTCAAAACAAACAAAAAAGGTTGCATGTATTGAAAAAAATTTTGACTGGTACTTGTAGGAAATTATTTCTTTTCTCTTAATCCTTGTACAGATGTCAAGAAATGAGTGCTGCAAGTGCACGGCAGATAAGTGAGTGGTTGATTGATTTCTGTGTTAAAACAGGGTGTTAAAATGAGAACCTGGAGTTATTTACGTAATCAGTAGGTGTAATTACAGGTGCTCCTTCTTACCTTACATGTCAGTGACAGGGAATACATGTGCTGAATTAATAATAAACAGGTAGATCATAGGTGATAGTTGTCACCTTGTATGTTGATGGTGGAAAGATTAATTAATACACAGGCCGAATGACTAATTATTGGATTGCAGAGCAGAACCAGGGGCTGACAAAGAGATTTTTCAAGTGCTTGCCCATGGACAAATACATGGTCAAAATTCACTTGCCCTACCTGAATTTTTACTTGCCCCACCATGAACAATGAACAGTAGAAAGACAAAAATTATCACTACAAGTGCCCATTTTCACTTAAAACTAAGACTTTTTTTCTCTTGAAAAAAATCACTTGCCCTCAGGCAAGTGGTTAATAAAAATTCACTTGCCCATCTCCAAAATTCACTAGTCCCAGGCATTGGGCAATGGGATTTGTCAGCCCCTGCAGAACTGTGGTCTTTAGATTGAACATGTTATATTTGGAAATCTATTGCCTTTTGTCCAAAATTTTATTTTATAGACTGGATTTTTTTTGGTAATGGATTCCCATTTATATATAGAGATTGATTGACAAGTTTGATCAGAGTAACCGTATTCTGAATCCCCAGGTGAGATTTCTCTTTAGAGATTAATTGACATTTTTGAAGTTTTTGATTTTTTTTTTTTCAGCCTGACTTCAGCAAACTGGTTATCAACCCTAACTCAATCTGGCAGCAGTTTGTCTCCCAGATGGTGCCCGAGATCACACTGGTCGTCAAATTCTGTAAAAAGATACCAGGTAAATAGGTTTTATTGGTGTAGGGGGTAAATGTTTGTATTGATAATTATAAGGGAAAAGAACTTTACCTAATGAAGGGTGTTCCTATAAAGTTGAAGTATAGTAATTAAGACACACTTATATCATAGTGACAGGGACAAGCAACTTTGATTTGCTATAAAAGTAATAATTATCCGAAAAGTTCTAAATGTGCTTTAAAATTACAAGGAATGAAAATCACTTAGAATGAATGCATCTTAAGGGTGTTTGCAGTACTTAACCATGTTTTACTTTATATAAGAGTATGAGATGAGGGCCTATATTGTGTGACTTTGATTTCTCATTTGTTATTGATTTGTTTCACTGATACATTTGAGTGAAAGAAAACAAAGCTGTTTGAGTACTTTCAGACCTTTGATTGTGAGCTCACTTGTTCAGTTATCTCTTTGCAGGTTTTGGGGAGATTGACCAGGATGACCAGATTAATCTAATTAAGCAGGGGTCATTTGAGGTCATGCTGTGTCGATTCTGTAACCTTGTGGACTACAAGAAGGGCACAATGTTTGATCCCGAAATGAAAATCAAGTGTCCAAGGTAAATACAACTTAAAGTACAGAGTAAATTCAACCCATACTGTGCACAATCCACAGTGAGTACTTTTCATCACATTTCACCATTGGAATTGGAGTTCACATTTGCTATCCAGCTGATTCAGTCCAATAAAAAAAATTACCCCCCTCCCCTTTCCAAATGCTACACAACTGAAAGCTTTAACTAAATCAGATAAAGTTGATTTTATATAAGTTAACCAGACTAAAAGATTGAGAGGTCATCGTGTGACATTTTAAAGTCTTATTTCACTTGTACGATTCTGATGATGCCATTATGAAGATGAACTGAAAATCTACAGCATGATCTGAATATAAAGAAGTGTTTGGACTGAATTAGCTGGATAGCTCTGCAGTGTATCAGTGTACATCAAGGCTTAAGGGTGGCTGATGAAAATCAAGGTCTTGTTGTTCACTGCAAAATCCATAACATCTTCCTGACTAGCAGATACAAATCAGAGATTGTTAAAAATGTAACCACAACTCAAAATCAATCATAGGATATTCTCTTTATTGGTCTTTTTATGTATTGTTCTGATGGCAAAAGCAGGTTTTTTGTTAGATTGTGTGACGGAGAATTGTTCAATAAATAGCAGAAAACACTCAAAATCCTTGAATTCTCTTTGCCTGTAGGGACAATATTGTTGTATTGTAGCCATTCTGTCTGTACCATCTCACAACACTAGACAGGAACAAACCAGACTCAGAACTTCTCTTAATAAGTCATTTCAGAACTTCAAGGGCATTGACTCAAGTTTAGCTACAAGCCACTAGGGTAAAAAGCAAAACCTGACCTATAATTATGGCTATACTTCAATTTTCATTCAAATTTTCTCCAGTTTTATACTCATCAGTTTTTGCTGAATTTGAATATTAAGCATGTGTTAAGTTTATGTGCATTATATAGATTCCAGCCTTTTTTGATGAAGGTATATCAATATATGTTGCTTAAAATTTATTCTGATAACTAAAACCATGACTAGATTAGAATATGTTGTTTTTAAAGGATAAGACTTGATGTTAACATTAAAGTTGAGGCAGAATGATATGTATCATCTTTGAGCTGCCTGCATATGATGTACAATGTTATCAATCCATTAAGAAAGTATTATAGGTAAAAAAAAAAGAATTGATGTAATCCAACTATCAATTGTGAGCAGTTTCTCATGCAAAAGCCTATGGAAAACCTGTTTGTGGCTATAAATAGTTGGGATTCTTTTTCTTATGAACTTGTGTTTATGTGATATGCGACACAAATTCGGGAAAAGTTGAAGTATGGGTCAGTTGCAAACTTAGATATATTTTTTTGTACACTTAGTCTAATACAAGTCTGTTTATGTTAGTAAAATCTATTGTGGGTTTCCTCTGATTTCAATGAAACTGTTTTCTGAATGATCCAATACTGTATTTTACAGGGAAATGGTGAAGATGCTGCCTATGGGAGAATTCATGGATGAGTTCTTCAACGTAGCGGAAATGTTTAATCCTCTGAAGCTGACAGACGGGGAAATTGGGCTCTTTACCTCCACACTCATTATCTGTCCAGGTTTGTATATCAGGTCAAGATCAAAGATGGGGAATGTAGGGCTTCTGATCTCCACACCCATTATCTGTCCAGGTTTGTATATCTATCAGGTCAAGGTCAAAGATGGGGAAAGTAGGGCTACTGACCTCAACACTCATTATCTGTCCATGTTTGTATATCTATCAGGTCAAGGTCAAAGATGGGGAAAATACGACTACTGACCTCCACACTCCTTATCTGTCCAGGTTTGTATATCTATCAGGTCAAGATCAAAGATGGGGAAAGAAGGGCTACTGACCTCCACACTCATTATCTGTCCAGTTTTGTATTTCTATCAGGTCAAGATCAAAGATGGGGAAAGTAAGGCTACTGACCTCCACACTCCTTATCTGTCCAGGTTTGTATATCTATCAGGTCAAGGTCATAGATGGAGAAAGGAGGGCTACTGACCTCCACACTCATTATTGTCCAGGTTTGTATATCTATCAGGTCAAGGTCAAAGATGGGGAAAGTAGGGCTACTGACCTCCACACTCATCATCTGTCCAGGTTTGTATATCTATCAGGTTAAGGTCAAAGATGGGGAAAGTAGGACTACTGACCTCCACACTCATTATCTGTCCAGGTTTGTATATCTATCAGGTCAAGGTCAAAGATGGGGAAAGTAGGACTACTGACCTCCACACTCATCTGTCCAGGTTTGTATATCTATCAGGTCAAGGTCAAAGATGGAGAAAGGAGGGCTACTGACCTCCACACTCCTTATCTGTCCAGGTTTGTATATCAACAGGTCAAGTTCAAAGATGGGGAAAGTAGGCTACTGACCTCCACACTCATTATCTGTCCAGGTTTTTATATCTATGAGGTCAAGATCAAAGGAATGAGAGATCATTGTAACCAAGCACATTATACCTTGACAATCTACTGAAAGTATGCTTTATTGTCACTATTTGGATACTTTGAAGTATTATATTTGAGTGTACATGAAAATTTTAATGATCAAGGACATTGTAAGTCAGTGTCATGAGTCTAATTTATAAGGTTCAGAAGAAAAATAAATGATTCAGAAATATACAATACTTACCATAGTAAAATTGATAGAAACTAAACTCAGATTCCTTTTTTGTGATATAAAATATTTACCTGTTCTGATTCAATCAGTAGCTTAGTAGTTTTACTGTCAGTTTTTGTTTTGATTTTTTTACAGAGAGGAAGGGCATTAAGAATGTGCGAGCTGTTAAGAAGCTCCAGTCACTGTTATTCCAGTGTCTATATGCCCTCATCAAGAAAAATCACTTTGGTAGGTAGCTCATCTGTCTGTAAACTTGTCTTATCTGTATGTCTACTCGTCAACGTTTCCATTGTGCAATGCAAAACAAAAAACATTTTTAAAAAAAAAAATTGTAAAATGGTTCATGAAACTCAAGGATATCCATGGAGTGTGTAGATTTTTGCTGTTATTCACTGGAAAAAAATGCATGTTGGGAATATTCAAACTTATTAACTCTTAAGTCTTCAGAGTTGTACAGTTAGGAATTCTCCATTTTTGCACTCGGAGATGTGTATGTTACCTATTCAGATTTCCCCAAAGTTTTTTTTATTTCCAAGCCAGCAAGATACTATATTTTTCATAAATAATGTTTAAGCAGAGCGTCTTGTTCAATTATTAAGACCAGAACCAGTTCCATATCCTGACTGTTTCTATACCATACACATGGTACTTGTATTGATTTAGGTTCATTAACACATTTGATGTAAAGTAGAACCATAAAATCAATATCTCCCCAGTATTGCCTTATAAGGTAACAAAACACCAAAATGGATATCTTGGATACTAAAAAGATTGAAGTGACAGTCAAAAATAATTCGACCACAAAAAAAATTCTCTTGCAAATTTTGTGCGAAATTTACACCCAGAGAAGGTCAACACAGGTGTAAATATATACCTTTCCTAGAAACTGATCATCAATAAGAGATGAAGAGATTTTGTTACTGTCATTTCTTGTTTGATAAATTCTGACTGTTTCCTCTCCTTTAGATTTGCATCTTGGGGATGTTTTTATTTATCCTTCTTTTTTTTATATAAGTTTTTATGGTTCAGTTAAGACTAAATTTTATTTTTTTTCTTTATGCTTTATTTATGGCGTAAAATATTGCAGGCTGATAGATAACATCTATTAGCGGAAATTGCCTTTTCATGTAAATCGGTGGTTTCTGAATTAAAGCTGATTTTGTCAGTATTTATTATACTTTTATTGATACCTTCTTTGTGAAGTATAGAATGCATTTAACTATACGCATGGTTGTTCAAGAAATAAACTGAGAATGTGGTCTGAACATCTGCTTCTAAGATCAAAGCATCCAGAGAACTGAATAAAATGAGTATTTCTTTTGCATTCTATGTAAAAAAAAAAATACCCGATAACACAAGGTCAATTTATTCAAAAAATATTACAACTCTAAAAAACCAGAAGTCTCTGATGAGACTGTAGCTCTACTGGTTGTACTTATAAAGGAAGATAAAAGTAGCACTTGGACTTTGCAACAGCAATAAATAGAATAATGATCCTTGGTTTAGTCTGTTTTGCGGCAAGATTTATTGCAATCAGAATAAAACTGTAGGAGGAGTAGCCTTTTAAAATGATTTTACAGAAATTTCGATTTAAGTAACCATGGCAACATCATTCAACAAAATCAAAAAGCAATAATGACAATTATGTATCTTTGTGTAGTCTACTTGTATGCAAAGTTATACTGAAATCAGACAAAACATGTAGGAGGAGTAGCATTTTGAAAGTATATCAAGAAAATTTCTGTTTTTTAGTAACCATGGCAACATCCTACATTGAAATCAAAAACAGATATATAGAATTATGTTTCTTTGTGTAGTTTACTTGTGTGCCAAGTTATAATGAAATCTGATCAAAACTGTAGGAGGAGTAGTGTTTTGAAACTTTTTCACAGAAATTTCTATTTTTAGTAACCATGGCAACACCATTTATTGAAATCAAAAACTGATATACAGAATTATGTATCTTAGTGTAGTCTACTTGTGTGCCAAGTTATATTGAAATCAGACCAAAACTGTAGGAGGAGTAGCGTTTTGAAAAATTGTTTACAGACGGACGGACAGATAGACAGACGGACAGACAGATGGACGGACGACGGACACCTTACTATCGCATAAGCTCTTCTGGTCTCTGACCAGTAGAGCTAACAAGACTGATTAATTAGCATTAAAGACTTAATATTGATATCATTACTTTAAGCTACTTCAAATCAGCCATCCTTGAACTTCCCTTGTTGGAACTTGTAATAATAAATAATTTATGTAACTTTAATGGACGTGCTTTTATCCATTCCTCAAAAAGGAAAGACAAGAGAGAGAAAAAAAACAACAAGAATCAAGTTTTGTACTAGAGACTTTAATCCTACTTACAAGGAATTGTTTAACTGATCCTGTATAGTAAATCAACAAACGGTATTTCTTGCAATTGTTCATCTCTACTTATCTCTCAACTGTTACTTTGTGTTTATCAAAATTATAGGTTGCACAACAGTATTAAATTTTGCTATAAGTTCTTACCAAAAATGAGCAACTTTGATTAGGTGGCATTAATTGAAAACAAACTTTTGAGAAGTTTCCTTTTCAGATCTTGGAAAACAATTCTTTATAAAGATTTTAGTACTAAAAAATACATAGCCATCCAGCAAGGCATGAAAGTTTGTTTCGGTCGAGCAGGTGCTTGAAAATTAAGTCCAGGACCTAATTACTCCCCTCTCAAATACAGTATATAGAAAAATCAGAACGCCCTAAATTATAATAAATCTAGTCAATACAGGAAGTTTACATATTGTTTTTCATCGCATAAAAAAATTCAGCTACAGTCTCGTGTTAAAATGCCTGAATCGGAAGGGAAGATTCAGGAATTATTTTGTGTCAGCCATGATTTGACGTAAACCTCAAGTGAAATACTGTTACATGTATGACACCTATATTCATTGTCACACTAAGACTATACATTTCCTGCTCTCTTTTAAGGAAGAGTTTTGACAAGGGAAATAATTTTAAAAAAAATGCCTTTTGGTTTTATGCAATATTAGATTATGATGTCTGTATATGGATCACTAGGTTCAGTACTTCAATTTTTTTTTTTCATTTTGTCTTTTTAATCCTTGCTGGCAGATTAATCAACCAACTTTAATAAGGTGTATTTCATTCCTTTTCAGAATCAGGTTTTCATTAACTTTTTTCTTATCTATTTGCAGATTATGACAATGTTTTTATAAAGGCCATTGGTACAATGAAGACATTTAAAGTGGTTAATCTAAAGCATCGAATTGCTCTAAATAGCATGCAGATGCAGGCCCCCTCCAAGGACATGTTTCCTCCGCTTCACCAAGAGGTGTTTGAACATGGTGATTGTAGTACAGAAGAGAGCAAAAAGTCATGAGGTGCCTGACTTAAGTTAGAAATATCATTCTATTAAAGACTTGTATATACAGGGCTAAACTGATCATGCACACAAACTAGAGAGTGGAGAGCAAGGAAATAAACATTTGAAAGATCTCAATCAGTGTCACCCAGGAGTTTGGAGAAGCTGACTTTCCTTAGACACTGCTGTCACAGCCTTAAAGGAAACTGTCATTCTCTGAGGTGACACGGAATCAGCTGCCCTGAGTCATCCCTGCCACTGCTGTGTTGTGGATTCAAAAATAAACAATTCGTTGCGTCTATGAATAGATCCCTGTTTAGGCCATGTGTTAGTGAATGATGTATATATATGTCCAACAGAATTTGTCACTCCAAGTCACAACACATGTAGTGATGTGTAGTATAACTGTTCTCATTGTAGAAGGAGAGACAACTCCTGTTAATCATCAATGCCAGCACAGCATTGCTGTATTGTTGTTTATAATGGCGATTTACTGATGCTACTCTATTTTTGTGTTAGTCATTGTTTAACTGTTAAAGACTAATGTAATGATTTAGTTCCTTCATGAATGTAATGTTAGACAAAAGGGGAGGATCAAAGATTCTGTGCCCTGCTGTATAGACAGGAGGGGTGGATCAAAGATTGTGTGCCCTGCTGTTTTGACATGAGGGGTGGATCAAAGATCCTGTGCCCTGCTGCATTGGTTTAGGGTATAATCCTTTACTCCTGATGTAGATGGTTTTATTTTCAAGGTCACCAGGGCACATAAAAAAGCTTCTGCTTTTTGTTTGAGAACACAATTTTTTCAGAAGTCGTTTTATTGGTTTTGTGATACAATGTGTTTTTTTTTTTGTCTTCGGTTTTCGAAGATTTTATGAACATTTATCTCATAATCATGCATTGATTATTTCATTTGTAGATATTTTAACAGATTTGTAAATATATGTCATTTTGTAAATAGTTTGTATAGATAAAGCTATATATAGACTGTTAGTCATATTTACTTCACTGCAGAAGGGACACCCAAGATTTTAATTATTTGGTAACTCAACATTTATTCTTAAAACTTTAAATTTGAAGATTTCTTCAATCATCTTAAATGTCTCATTTGGTTTCATATTTGCAGCTAAATGACTGCTTTTACATTATTCTTGACTTGAGTATTTGAGTTCGTGCTACAAGAGGTTTGATATTATTACGTGAAGTCGTGTATTGGACTTTATTCCTGTATACACTTGACAAAAAATGACATCTTTTTTGTTGGACATACATTAATCGGGTAAAACATTCAGTTTCTGTAATCAGTTGATATTTCCACTCTTTATGTTTACAAATGCACATGGTGTATCCCTGAATCAAGAAGTGCTACGCATAGATAAATGTTCTAAATAAAACAAGATTAAAAAAAAAGTAAAACAAATCTGTAGTCATTCCACAATGCCAGAAAATAATTAATAGTGCTAGATTATTCTGGTTTTGAAACACATTGGTGCCAATATTTTGAGTTCTCCAATCTTCTTTTTTTTTTTTTTTTTTTTTTTGGTAATAATTCCAAAAAAGTGTCTATTCAATACAGAAGTGCTAATTAATTCTGTTTATTTTTAAAATTGTGACATAAATATGAAAAATTAATTTTGCCTGAAAGAGGGATGGGGGTTTGGTGTATAACAATAAGTTTTCAATATTCTATTTTCTCATTGTATTGTCCACTTTTTATTTTAAATGTATGAAATAAGTAATGGCTGATTCAACAATAAAAAATATTTTCCAAGGTAGAGAGGTCTTTTAGCTTTTGTGTTGGATTACAAATTTATAGGTTGGCCCTTTATATGGCTATTTAGAGACCAGCGGAGAACATCATTGGATAAATTTAATTAAAACTGTAAACAAACACTCCAGGTATCTCTTGTGAAATAATGTTTCTCTCAGGAAATAGAAAAAATTTAAATCATTTACAGATGGAAAACTCTTCTCTCATTCTCTTAAACAATTTTTATCTAAGACTGTTTTTAATTATGAAACTGTGATAACGTTCTGTATTAGACATTGAGCCATTTTGTATTACTCGTGAACACACCGGAGAACTGATGATACACAAATACAGACCTTAGGCTAACTCTTTATGTTTTGTAAATGATGTCTATTTTTGCGAGGAGAGTGTGTTTGTGCAATAGGAGTAGATGAAATGTTTTTTTCTCATTAAAATCTTAATATTTTGTGAACATGATGTCTATAGTCAGTCAGTTGTACAAATCGACTACGATCCCGTAACTATGTTTTGTATCCCCCCACCCCCTTTCTTTAAAGTGGTAGACTGATCATAAATTTTTGATTTATTTTCAAAAGATAGAGTACAAAATCAAGAGTTAAGTATTTACTTTGCTAGAAAAAGATTTATATATGTAAGAATGACAACAGACTGCCTTATGACTTTCTTCAGACCCGGTTTTGTACAGTTGCTCAATAGATTCTGAAAGATAATGTCTTGTCTGTGCTATATGTTTATGTATATTGTGATAATTATTAATCATTACTTAGTATTTACTAAACTCTCTGAAGAAAGGAATTTAACAAATGTTACTCTTCTGTGAAAAATATTTATTTATATCCAGTGTTTTAGTTATAATGATATAACGTTTTATTTGCACGTGTATGTTTAAAAAAATGAATATTTTTCTAACAGTAAGTTGATTTTCTTTACAAATTTATTGACATTGGGAAACATTTTTTTATTGTATTATAAATTTTTAAAATTTTTTTTTTTAGATTCTTTATTTCTGATGGTAATGGGCTGCAGTTTTGAGATTTTTCAGTGGGTTAATACAAAACTGCTAATACAAAACATTAAGAAATCCCAGTCGATTTTTGCTGCTGAGAACACCTGATATCCTTATATTTTCAGACCCTGTGTAACGTAATATATATATAACATAAGAAATACATGTTACAGAGTAACTTACGTATCCTTTGTCACATGATAACATGTTGATTTCATCATCACTAATGATTGTGTGAAGTGATTTCTTGTACTGAGGCTGTCTTATTGTCCAATCATGCGTAACCTGGTGGGCGATTGTCCAATCATGTGTAACGTGGTGGACGGAGTCAATGTTTGTCCTTCATCAGCAGTGTGTAAAAGTTCACATCATCAAACATTTAGGTGATGTAGTTGTACAAAGACTTGAAGTCCTAACAGTATTGTAAAACGAACACTGTATAGCTTTTTTTTTTCCAAATGTTAAAAAAAATCTGTAAAATTATACCAAAATAAAATTGAGATTTTGTATGAAACTGTCTATTTGAAAGAAGATCATGTGATGTTTTGGATAAATTCTGTGTGCCGCATTTCTAGTTTTAAGCCATTATATTTTTTTTTAAAAAGAGTAACTATCTCTTGCATAAAGAAATGTCTGTAAACCAGGTTATGATGGTTGGACACTATCTTCAGTAGATTTTCTATGTTGCTGTGTCTTATAATTTTACTGTCCCACGGGCCGGTGAACAGTACACATACATGTATGCTTTTTATTAAAGAAAAACATTGTATCATGGGTTTATTTCTGTTAGTGATGTCTTGAAATGAAATCATTTAAATAATTTTAAAAATTTGGTTTGTGAGATTTTTGTTTTCAGCTTAAACTTGCTTAGATCCAGAAGGATAAAACGTATGCTCAACTAAGACGTAAGGTCACCTGCACATTCACAACGTTTTATCCTCCTGCCTCTATGTGGAGATAACGAGCAGTATTCAAGCTCAAAAGGCCATTAAACATTACAAAACAGGAGCAGAGCAAACACGGACCTCCAAAACATCAGAGGTGGGATCAGGTGCCATGGAGGAGTGAGCATCCCCTGCCGACCGGTCACACTCGCCGTGTGCTCCTTGTCATGATCGGGAAATAACGGAAAAATCCGTCGACAATTCAGTGTGTAAATAATGGCCTAACAATTAGTATGAAAAACGTCAGTCAGCATTTGACTCAATGATAAATTGTATTTGCTGACAAGGTCATTGTATCGACCATAGAACTTACGAAATGATGACGTTAAACGAGACTGCTGATATTCTTGTTTCATCAACTTGTTTGTCAATAATTTACCTCGTTTTAGATATTGTGCATACGTAGAGCATGCTCTTGCGTATCGAATCAACTGAGAGATATAAACCCCGTGTGCAGGTGATGAAGGTATCTTGCTGCATAAGTAAGGGAAGTTGACGATTGAAAAGTTAAAGTCATCTCGTTTATCATAAAGATTCAGAGAACCAGAACAGTCACAACTTACAGCGACAATATGTACCGGGACGAGCCTTTTTTTTCCTCCAGTATAATGATTGACAAAAGGTACAGTCACGTATCTTCACAATTTGTCGTCGGCGACATGTACTGTGAATATTTGTACATTTTGTCGCCGATATATTGTGTTGAAGGATATTTACTTAGGCCAGAGAGAGAGAGAGAGATTGACACACACACCCTCACACATGTACACAGAAGGATCGACGAAGTATGGCAAATAAATAGCTAAACAAGTTGTATTTATCTAGCATAACTCGCAATACTGTAGGAAGAAAAGGTTTTGGTCAGAAAATTGTGTCCAGGATTAGTGTACATCATAAACTATGATATATCCAAATACTGCAACTCATGAGATATCTGATAAATCAACAAATTATTTTTTCTTACTATATGTACTTGGAAATTGAAAAAAAAATATTCAGTAGTAATGATTATTTTGAAATTATTTATTTTTTTGCGTTATTCTTCTACATGTGCCGATATAATTGGTGTCGGGGTTGATATTTTTAGCTCACCTGAGATAAAAGCTGAAGTGAGCTTTTCTGATCATATTTTGTCTGTTGTCCGTCTCTAAATTTTTCACATTCTGTAAACCATTGGGCCAATTTCAACCAAACTTGCCACAAATCACTGGCGGATTTAAGGGGGGGGGGGGGCGTGGGGGGGCGCACGCCCCCCCCCCCCCCCTAAAATTTTCAAAGTATGATATGACTAATATTAATAATGCTATACTGTGGTATATAACTAACCAATACCACTATTTTTGTGCCTGGTTTTACTCTTAAAATACACGAAAACCCAGGAGCTTCCGGGGGCTTCGCCCCCTGGGCCCCCTCTATTCAAAGTATAATATGACTAGTGTTAATAATGCCAAACTTTGGTACATATAAACTAACCAATACCACTATTATTGTGCCTGGTTTTACTCTTAAAATGCACGAAAACCCAGGAGCTTATGGGGGCCTTAAGGCGGCCCCCAGACCCCCTGCCTAAACGAAGTTATCCACGCCCCCCCCCCCCCCTAATCACAAATCCTGTATCCGCCCATGCAAATCATCCGGTGATAAAGGGGATTCAAGTTAGTTCAAGTGAAGGGCCATGCCCTCTCAAGTTGTTAAAATTAGTTGTTAAAAATTAGTGAAAATTTAGTGACATCTTTTAAAAATCTTCTCAAGAACAACTGTATCAGAAAAGTTGAAACTTATGTGAAAGATTCATTATAAAGTGTAGATTCATTTTATTAAATCATGTCCCTAGGGGAAAGGGTGGGGCTACAACAGGTGATCAAAGTTTCATAGAATATATAAGAAAAAATTCTTTCAAAATGTTCTTCTTAAGAACTACGGTGTACTGGGTCAGAAGAGATGATAGGTAAAAACTTCATTACATAGTGTACGTTAAATTTTGTAGGTGCTGACAAGAAAAAGATCTTTCACTGCTCAATGGCCCTGAGTGCTAACAGCAAGCATAGGTCTAAATTTGCAGCCCTCCACCAACAGGTGGTGGCGTCTCCATATGAGTGGAAATTTCTCTAAAGGGACGTTAAACAACAAAGAAACAAACAAAACCAAAATCAATTGTGTTCAAATCATGACCTCCAGGGGTAGGGTAGGGCTACAATGGGTGATCAAAGTTTTACATAGGAATATATACAGAAAATCGTTAAGGATCTTCTCAAGAAACAAAGGCGGATGAAATATGGCGATTGAAATATAGATAACGAACAGTATTCAAGCTCAAATAAGTTCATTTAAACAATACATATCGGGAGCAGAACAAACAAGGACCTCCAAAAACATCACAGGTGGGATCAGGTGCCATGGAGGAGTGAGCATCCCCTGCCGACTGGTCACACCCACCGTGTGCTCTTTGTCATGATCGAGAAAAACGGAAAAAAATCTGTAGACAATTCAGTGTGTAAATAACGGCCTAACAATCAGTATGAAAAACGTCAGTCAGCATTTAATTTGACTTAATAATAAGTTGTATTTGCTTACAAGGTCATTGTATCGACCATAAAACTTGCGATATGATGACTTCAAAGGAGACTATTGATAACCTTGTTTCATCAGATTGTTTGTCAATAGCTTGCCTCATTTTAGAAATTGTTCTCACATAGAGCATCTCTTGCGTATCGAATCAACTTGGAGATAATAACCCTATAAGGAGGTGATAAGGGTATATTGCTACGTAAGTTAGGGAAGTTGACCATTGAAAAATTGAAGTCATCACGTTTATCGATGTTGTTAGGTTACCAACAAAGTCTTTTTCTAGTAAAATATTCAAACATGAAACAGATATTTCAGACTCTATGGTATCTTTTATATCAAATTCACTGTGATATATCGAATCGACATATGAATTGAGGTATCTATTGTTAATTGATGATACGTCATCGATATATCTAAATGTCGAGATGAAGGTCACAGCAAGTGTTTTCTTCTTCTCATGTAGAAATTTTTGAATAAATTCTGCTTCATATGAATACAAAATTAAGTCTGCTAATAAGGGCGCAATTGGAACCATTGGAATTCCAACAGATTGGTGGAAGAGCTGATCTCCATAAACGACATATATAGATATTGTCAATCAGAAACTCAAGCATCATTTTAATATCAACTTCAGGGTACTTGTGTGTACACTCAGAATGTTTTTAACAAAATAATTTCGTAAATGATCTAGTACGTGCACACCGCCCCCGTTTGATTTTTTTGGCTTTTGTAAACTCTGTTTGTTTAACTTGTATATACTCTCAATTTAATCCACAGGGAAAATTTCATAATTAAATAAATTACTTAATATATACAGTAACACATCTTTAAACGGATATGACATTTTTTTTTTTTGGCTTGAAAAAAAAAATCTGAACCGTGCCACCTTCCCCCTTACCCGTTCTGAAATTTCTAGATCCAACACTGAGAACAGAAGTAGGCACGTGATTAGTGATGTTACTATAGAAGCATCCTTAGGAAGTGCAGATTCAAGTGTCTTCAAATCATGACCCCCAGGCCTTGGGTGGGGCCAGGATGGGAGATCAAAATTTTAGAAAGCAATACATAGGAAAACTCTTTAAAATTATTTAATTCGGTTTTTTTTGGTTTGTTTGTTGTTTAACTTCCCTCTCGAGAATTTTTCACTCATATGGAGACACCACCACTTGCCGGTGGAGAGCTGCAAATTTTGTTCTATGCTCGGCACTTACGGCCATTGAGCAGTGAGGAATTTTTTTCGTGCCAACACCTACTTCAACACGGGACCTCGGTTTATACGGTCTCATCTGAAGGACCGGTCTCCACGTCCCACAGTGGGATTCGAACCCGCGACGTAAGGATCAGCTCCTTACCTCGCGACTTCTTTAATTCGTTAAAATAAAAAAAAAAACCTGCAAAACAATAATTAGTCATATTTATACAGAAGCATTGTCATGCATTGTCGTGCGACATGTACTGATAGACGACAGTATGTGCAGTGAGGGTAGGTACACATTGTCGCCAGCGATACTATGAACAGGACGACAAAATGTCACAATCACGCTGCATGAAATAGCATACAAGCCACTTCAGTGTGATTTATACACCAATTACATTCACAATTCTACCAAAAAAAAAAAAATCTTGAAGCAACAATATCTGGGGCGACAATATGTGCAGTGATTGAAAGGCACATAATTTCGCCAGCGACAATATGTACACGTGTAACTTTTCAGCTGGCGACATAATGTACCGATGGACGACAGTATGTGCAGTGAACGTAGGTACATATTGTCACCGCGACGACAACATGTACAAAACGACAAATTGTACCGTTACAAGGCTACTGGCAGATAACTAGATGTTATATGGCTTTCCACAACCTCGTTTAAAGACAGCATTTCCAAAAATCTATGGTCGTTATATTAACCTTGTTTGCAATTACAAACTATCATTGGCTCGTATTTTGACTGATATTTTTCAGGCCATTTGTTAGGTCGTTTTATTACCAATTACTAATTTTAACTGGATCACTTCGTTTACCTGATCAATACAGAGGGATTTCGGCGGATGTGATCGACAGGGAATACCTACTCCACCTAGGCATATGTGATCCCAGCTTTGGTGTTTATACAGTTCCGCGTTTTTGACCAGCGAACTTGAAATAAAAGATAACACAGAGTCTGACAAATCTGTTTAATATTTAAATAGTTTACTAGAAAAAGACGTTAATAATAAACTAACAACAAAACTTTATGATAAACGGGATGATTTCAACTTTTCTATCGTCAACTTCCTTTATTTATGTAGCAATATACCCTTATCACCTGGATAAATAGTTT